TAAATGGGCTTGTTGATGACGTTTCCTCATGGCACAAATGCGGAACAATAGGAACATCCAAGGCTGAAGAGGAAGGGTCTGTTGTGGCAGTGTTGTATCAGACATACCGGCAGAAGATTCAGACCAAACAGTCTTAGCAATGATGATCCCTTTTTTGCTTAAGCACGATACATGATACAGAGAAAGTTTCTTATCAAGAGTAACTCAACTTTCTCTTCCCCCTATGCTTATGTACTCGAGCTTATCTGCTTTTCAGTCATTCCTGTGAAAGCTTACATTCAATTCCAAAACAATCTTCAGGTGTTGCTATTGTCTGTCCTTGTTTTCTGTTTAACTGGCATGACTCATAACTGTCTTAGCTTCCAAAACATCCTCAAAGGAGTGGAGGCCTGATGAAAATAATAACTTTACATAATCTTTGACTGTGGGTTAGTTTCTCTCTACCTAGCTTCATCCTGTGGGAAAGTGCCCTGGCCTTATTTGATATTAACCTGAAACATTTGGCTTGCTTCTGCAGAAATAACAAGGCACTTCATTATTTTAAATGAGCACATATGCGCAACCAGTCTACACAGAGTGAAGCATGTTGGGATATATGAAACTCAGTGACTGAATGAATTATTTCAGCTATATAAACATTGTGTGAATGTCATCCATAGTCTATTCTAGTCATAGAAATCAGTTAGATATACATTTACCACCATAGGGTCATTTACACAAAAACGGCAACAAAAAAAAAACAACCTGGAGAGATGAAAAGATTTGGGAATTCTATCGGTAAGGGCTACACTGAAATTGTCGGACTCCAGAGCTGATTCTCCGGACATTTAGCATCATTGTCACACAACAGCAGCTGCCATTTCTCACTGGAATATGTGTCAGGTTAACTGACAGAGTTGTCTATCTACTGTATCTTGTGCGTCCTCGATTGTTTGGAAATGGGAAATCTATGGGTACAACAAAAACCTGCTTACTTCAAACTGTTTTCAGACACACAATAGCCCTCCAAATAAACTCGTTGGTGTGTTTGCTACTTGAGGTTCATTTCTTGGGAAGTAAACTATGTAAACAGTACAATCCTACAATTTATTCTACAGTACATTGAATGGAGGCTTTCTAGTAGAGGTCATTGCTTGGTGCTATTGTTATTAACGTTGAGCCCACAGTCACAGGTACAGAGCAACATGAGCTTCCTGTTGGAGGCGTGCTTCTGGATACTTAGTACAGTATATGTGTGTAATATTTATGGGCCCTTTAAGCTCTGGTTCACACCATAAACTCCTCAGATGCTGCTTGATCTTTCTCCCTAGTCACTTGCACTATAGTATTAGGAAGGTAGTATAGCCGGCACTCAGCCGGTTTGTCTGAGTTGAAAGGGTCAATGAGAGCTGAGACACTCAGCCAAATAGGAAATGTGTGGGTGGAAAATTCAGAACAATTTGCTAAAAGAGGCTAAAAAGCTCTATATACCTGCACAGGTGTTAGTTCTCAGGCTTACTTTTGTTACCATAGTAATGTCAAAAAGTTTCCTAAATGTGGGTTTAAGGTTTCCTTATCAAAAACTGCTGAGAAAAAGGACCTCATATGTAGTTGTAAACAGTTTGCTGTTTGTGCCTTGGATGAGCATGAATAAACGGAAGCATGTTGTGAGCAGCAGATAAACATAAGGGTAGCAGAGATCTAACATGCAGATTATGTGTTTCAAGCTCACTGCCCCTTCTTCAATGCTCAGTGATGCCTGTGAAAGAGCATATCCTCTGCTAATTTTGGGTTTATTTCTGCACAACTAAACCATCAGTTAAAATAAAATTCCTATGCAAGCTAAGAGGCTCCAATCATTTTCATGTCTGTTTAAGGTTAAACCTTCAGACTAAACCTGACAGGTCTTGCAAATGTGTTGTGAACAGACACACTTGGATACTTATCTAGCCTTTTCTCTTCTTTTTGTCCAGGCTGTTTTCAAATCAGCATGAGTTAATGAGGCAACAAAGAAGTAAATATGTGAACATTTTCTACCACGCTCAATGACCTGAATGTCCTTTGATGTTTAGCGATTTCTCCTAATCTCCTCCTCCTGTTCTTTTTAGTTATATGTTTGGCCTTCCTCACTGCTTTCACTTCAAGGTCCTGAGGACATAACAGTTGCTATTCTCTATTTTTGCTTCATCCCAAGATTGAAAAACTTTTCTTGATTCTTTCTTAGAGAATAGCTTCTCACATTATCCAGTAAATCAATGAACATCTACTGTACATCTCTTTCATTTGTATGTTGTAAGTGGAATCATTCGAGGCAGTTAAACAGACAGATGCTGTGCCTGGTCAGAGCAAGAGAAATATTTGTGAAACAAACAAGACTTGATGGAGAAATATCATATTTCAGCAGGTTTTCATGTTAGTCCTCAGCACAGACTTTGAATCAGGCAATTCTCCTAATGGATTCTTCCTGTGAGAAAGTTACTTAATTAGATTCATTTATCAGCGTCTCTGGTGTGATTATCCAACCACAGTAACTGAATTACACATCACCCAGAGATTTAACTTCACAGCATTTTTGAGAAACAATAATAAAATCTCAGTTTATGCCTTCAGTGATTATAAATCAGTGCTTGGATTTATGCAGACCAATGGTTTTTAATAACATAGTCAAGCTCTAACTCCCACAGCAAGAGATTTGATGCCATTCATGTTTTCTAACCTCTTTGTCACTTTACATCATGGTTTTACAGTATGTATGAAGGTTAACTGAAGCATTTACTTATCAGCATACAGGTATGTGTAAACAAAGGTGCCTATATAAAATCTCATTATGTTTTCTATGTTAGGCATTCTTCCTTAATCAGCCAAGCATGAAAATCTGCTTAAATATCGATCAAAACAATGGGGGACAAAGTATAGCTTTAAATTAGATGATAGCAATAAACAGTCAGAGCCAATTTGACCACATAGGACAAAATTACTGCTAATTACATCTTTTCATTACCAGCTGTGCTTTCTAGTTCCCCTGTCCGACCCATGCTGATAAGCATTGCACTCGTTTTTGGTTTTCGTTTACTGATAAATGGGCCGCTGTCATTGCAAAGGTCAGCTCTGAAGTTTGACAACCCTGGAGAGGATGCTTTTAATCACTGCGGTTCAGTGGGAGTGTAGTCTGGTCATGCATAGATGAAAAGAGCCTCTCATGCAGGGATGCTGTACCGAGTCACGTGGTGGGAACTGATGAAGTGGGCATACCGTGAATATTTTAAAGCACCCACACATACCCCATCAACGGACCACTCACTAAACCACTTGTGAACTTGGGAATGCTTTTAGCAAGTTTGAGCCCCATAATTGTGTTAATAGCAGTTTCTATCAAAATAAATGAAATACCGGTTTATTAAAGAATAAGGTTGATCATTTTTTACATTAACAGTATTAACAATAATCCCCATACAGAGACTAAAGCCAACAATGAATTGCCTCGGCTCACCGTTGATGCCTGTCAGTCTACCAGTTCTGGATTAGCTTATTCATCTGTACCATAGACCTCCACTGTTGAAAACCAGTTAAAACCACATCAGTGAAACACACCACTGTACGTAGTGACATATTTCCTCATTGTGAAACACACGACTCTAATGTTTGTTAAGAATATGGAGAAATCTTGTGCATGGGCCTCTGACTCTTACTTTGCATTCTGTAAAAAGTTATGGCCATTCAAAGTCATTGGGGCAATGTTTTAAAAAAAAATATAAGTGTGTTTTGCAATGAGGAAACATGTCAACCAGTGCAGC